CCCTCACACTCCACTTGCTGCATCTCTCCCTCACACTCTCCCTTGCTGCATCTCTCCCTCACACTCTCCCTTGCTGCATCTCTACCTCACACTCTCCCTTGCTGCATCTCTCCCTCACACTCTCCCTTGCTGTATCTCTCCCTCACACTCTCCCTTGCTGCATCTCTCCCTCACACTCTCCCTTGCTGCATCTGACCTCACACTCTCCCTTGCTGTATCTCTCCCTCACACTCTCCCTTGCTGCATCTCACCCTCACACTCTCCCTGTGCTGCATCTCTACCTCACACTCTCCCTTGCTGCATCTCTCCCTCACACTCTCCCTTGCTGCATCTCTCCCTCACACCTCCCTTGCTGCATCTCTCCCTCACAACTCTCCCTTGCTGCAATCTCTCCCTCACACTCTCCCTTGCTGCATCTCTACCTCACACTCTCCCTGCTGCATCTCTCCCTCACACTCTCCCTTGCTGCATCTCTCCCTCACGCTCTCCCTTGCTGCATCTCTACCTCACACTCTCCCTTGCTGTAATCTCTCCCTCACACTCACCCTTGCTGCATCTCTCCCTCACACTCTCCCTTGCTGTATCTCTCCCTCACACTCTCCCTTGCTGTATCTCTCCCTCACACTCTCCCTTGCTGTATCTCTCCCTCACACTCTCCCTTGCTGCATCTCTCCCTCACACTCTCCCTTGCTGCATCTCTCCCTCACACTCTCACTTGCTGCATCTCTCCCTCACACTCTCCCTTGCTGCATCTCTCCCTCACACTCTCCCTTGCTGCATCTCTACCTCACACTCTCCCTTGCTGCATCTCTCCCTCACACTCTCCCTTGCTATCTCTCCCTCACACTCTCCTTGCTGCATCTCTCCCTCACACTCTCCCTTGCTGCATCTGACCTCACACTCTCCCTTGCTGTATCTCTCCCTCACACTCTCATTTGCTGCATCTCTACCTCACACTCTCCCTTGCTGCATCTCTCCCTCACACTCTCACTTGCTGCATCTCTCCCTCACACTCTCCCTTGCTGCATCTCTCCCTCACACTCTCCCTTGCTGCATCTCTACCTCACACTCTCCCTTGCTGCATCTCTCCTCACACTCTCCCTTCTGCATCTCTACCTCACACTCTCCCTTGCTGTATCTCTCCCTCACACTCTCCCTTGCTGCATCTCTACCTCACACTCTCCCTTGCTGTATCTCTCCCTCACACTCTCCCTTGCTGCATCTCTACCTCACACTCTCCCTTGCTGCATCTCTCCCTCACACTCTCCCTTGCTGTATCTCTCCCTCACAACTCTCCCTTGCTGCATCTCTCCCTCACACTCTCCCTTGCTGCATCTGACCTCACACTCTCCCTTGCTGTATCCTCCCTTTTACTCTCCCTTGCTGCATCTCTCCTCACACTCTCCCTTGCTGCATCTCTCCTCACACTCTCACTTGCTGCATCTCTCCCTCACACTCTCCCTTGCTGCATCTCTCCCTCACACTCTCCCCTTGCGCATCTCTACCTCACACTCTCCCTTGCTGCATCTCTCCCTCACACTCTCCCTTGCTGTATCTCTCCCTCACACTCTCCCTTGCTGCATCTCTCCCTCACACTCTCCCTTGCTGCATCTGACCTCACACTCTCCCTTGCTGTATCTCTCCCTCACACTCTCCCTTGCTGCATCTCACCCTCACACTCTCCCTTGCTGCATCTCTACCTCACACTCTCCCTTGCTGCATCTCTCCCTCACACTCTCCCTTGCTGCATCTCTCCCTCACACTCTCCCTTGCTGCATCTCTCCCTCACACTCTCCCTTGCTGCATCTCTCCCTCACACTCTCCCTTGCTGCATCTCTCCCTCACACTCTCCCTTGCTGCATCTCTCCCTCACACTCTCCCTTGCTGCATCTCTACCTCACACTCTCCCATGCTGCATCTCTCCCTCACACACTCCCTGCTGCATCTCTCCCTCACGCTCTCCCTTGCTGCATCTCTACCTCACACTCTCCCTGCTGCATCTCTACCTCAACACTCTCCCTTGCTGCATCTCTCCCTCACACTCTCCCTTGCTGCATCTCTCCCTCACGCTCTCTCCTTGCTGCATCTCTACCTCACACTCTCCCTGCTGTATCTCTCCCTCACACTCACCCTTGCTGCATCTCTCCCTCACACTCTCCCTTGCTGTATCTCTCCCTCACACTCTCCCTTGCTGTATCTCTCCCTCACACTCTCCCTTGCTGTATCTCTCCCTCACACTCTCCTTGCTGCATCTCTCCCTCACACTCTCCCTTGCTGCATCTCTCCCTCACACTCTCCCTTGCTGCATCTCTCCCTCACACTCTCCCTTGCTGCATCTCTCCCTCACGCTCTCTCCCTTGCTGCATCTCTCCCTCACGCTCTCCCTTGCTGCATCTCTACCTCACACTCTCCCTTGCTGTATCTCTCCCTCACACTCACCCTTGCTGCATCTCTCCCTCACACTCTCCCTTGCTGTATCTCTCCCTCACACTCACCCTTGCTGCATCTCTCCCTCACGCTCTCCCTTGCTGCATCTCTACCTCACACTCTCCCTTGCTGTATCTCTCCCTCACACTCACCCTTGCTGCATCTCTCCCTCACACTCTCCTTGCTGTATCTCTCCCTCACACTCTCCCTTGCTGTATCTCTCCCTCACACTCTCCCTTGCTGTATCTCTCCCTCACACTCTCCCTTGCTGCATCTCTCCCTCACACTCTCCCTTGCTGCATCTCTCCCTCACACTCTCCCTTGCTGCATCTCTCCCTCACACTCTCCCTTGCTGCATCTCTCCCTCACACTCTCCCTTGCTGTATCTCTCCCTCACACTCTCCCTTGCTGCATCTCTCCCTCACACCTCTCCCTTGCTGCATCTCTCCCTCACACTCTCCCTTGCTGCATCTCTCCCTCACACTCTCCCTTGCTGCATCTCTCCCTCACACTCTCCCTTGCTGCATCTCTTCCTCACACTCTCCCTTGCTGATCTCTCCCTCACACTCTCCCTTGCTGCATCTCTCCCTCACACTCTCCCTTGCTGCATCTCTCCCTCACACTCTCTCTTGCTGCATCTCTCCCTCACACTCTCCCTTGCTGCATCTCTCTCCTCACACTCTCCCTTGCTGCATCTCTCCCTCACACTCTCCCTTGCTGCTATCTCTCCCTCACACTCTCCCTTGCTGCATCTCTACCTCACACTCTCCCTTGCTGCATCTCTCCCTCACACTCTTCCTGCCTTACAACAGTGTCAGTAACATTAGCAGGGGCCAAGAGCTGTGACTCGACCCTTGCAACCACAATTAGGTGAGTACATGATAATCGTAATTTAATAAAGAATATTAACTTTATTGACGACCCTCAAACATTATTTTCAAGTGAAGAATATCATGTTTAATAAGGAAATAAAACCAGAGTGTGATAAACCCAGGGTTAAATAAAACCAGAGTGTGATAAACCCAGGGTTAAATAAAACCAGAGTGTGATAAACCCAGGGTTAAATAAAACCAGAGTGTGATAAACCCAGGGTTAAATAAAACCAGAGTGTGATAAACCCAGGGTTAAATAAAACCAGAATGTGATAAACCCAGGGTTAAATAAAACCAGAGTGTGATAAACCCAGGGTTAAATAAAACCAGAGTGTGATAAACCCAGGGTTAAATAAAACCAGAGTGTGATAAACCCAGGGTTAAATAAAACCAGAGTGTGATAAACCCAGGGTTAAATAAAACCAGAGTGTGATAAACCCAGGGTTAAATAAAACCAGAGTGTGATAAACCCAGGGTTAAATAAAACCAGAGTGTGATAAACCCAGGTTAAATAAAACCAGAGTGTGATAAACCCAGGGTTAAATAAAACCAGAATGTGATAAACCCAGGTTAAATAAAACCAGAGTGTGATAACCCAGGTTAAATAAAACCAGAGTGTGATAAACCCAGGGTTAAATAAACCAGAGTGTGATAAACCCAGGGTTAAATAAAACCAGAGTGTGATAAACCCAGGGTTAAATAAAACCAGAGTGTGATAAACCCAGGGTTAAATAAAACCAGAATGTGATAAACCCAGGTTAAATAAAACCAGAGTGTGATAAACCCAGGGTTAAATAAAACCAGAGTGTGATAAACCCAGGGTTAAATAAAACCAGAGTGTGATAAACCCAGGGTTAAATAAAACCATGTGATAAACCCAGGTTAAATAAAACCAGAGTGTGATAAACCCAGGTTAAATAAAACCAGAGTGTGATAAACCCAGGTTAATAAAACCAGAGTGTGATAAACCCAGGGTTAAATAAAACCAGAGTGTGATAAACCCAGGGTTAAATAAAACCAGAGTGTGATAAACCCAGGGTTAAATAAAACCAGAATGTGATAAACCCAGGGTTAAATAAAACCAGAGTGTGATAAACCCAGGGTTAAATAAAACCAGAGTGTGATAAACCCAGGGTTAAATAAAACCAGAGTGTGATAAACCCAGGTTAAAATAAAACCAGAGTGTGATAAACCCCAGGGTTAAATAAAACCAGAGTGTGATAAACCCAGGGTTAAATAAAACCAGAGTGTGAAAACCCAGGTTAAATAAAACCAGAGTGTGATAAACCCAGGGTTAAATAAAACCAGAGTGTGATAAACCCAGGGATAAATAAAACCAGTGTGTGATAAACCCAGGGTTAAATAAAACCAGAGTGTGATAAACCCAGGGTTAAATAAAACCAGAGTGTGATAAACCCAGGGTTAAATAAAACCAGAGTGTGATAAACCCAGGGTTAAATAAAACCAGAGTATAATAAAACCACCATATAATAAAATCAACATATAAAAACTGGCAATTTTACTCCAAATTAATGCTCTTTAACCAGATTTTTTTTAATAGCTGGAAAAATCTAAATTCCTTCACCAAAAAAAAAAATAAATAAATAAATAAATAAAACTCCAAAATAAAATGGAAGATAATAATTTTTTTTATTTCGTTCAAAATATTAAGATTTGGTTCAAATTTTTATAGTATCGTCACAACGTAATTTGAAAAAAATATTAAAGGTCCTTTTTTTTATAAATAAACCATTATAGATTTGATTAGTTTTATTTGGGTTTAAAAATAGATCACAGGATAGACGAATTAGACACATCAGCTCAACTTTTAACTCCAGGAATTTTTTCTAGTTTCAATTCCCGGAATTTGTCAACTGATTTGGGCATTATAATTAAAAAATATAGAATTTAGTTGTATATCCCATCAGAACATCACGTGTCGTTGAGAAGAGAATGTTAACTATTAGGTATAAACCTATACATAAATAAATCCGGTGATTTATATTAATAAACCTGGTGAGAGAGAGAGAGAGAGAGAGAGAGAAAGATTTATTTTCTGATGATGGTAATCTCTGGGGTGGAAAGTTTAGGAACACGCGCCGTAGAAGTCCTCAGCAGTACACTCCCTGAGGCAGCAGTTTCTCCTGATGTCACTGAGAGACCTGGGTACCAAGACAGGCCAGTCTACCTCCCTGTCTCTCTTAGCCAGGGAGATGTCTCCTAGGAAGTGTGTAGCAGAGTTAACCCGGACCAATCCATTTTCTCTTTCTTGATTTGTCTCGCCATTCTCCCTGATCGCTTGCCAGGGGTCGTTGACGAGGTCGTTCCCCAGGCCATTGGAGTCCTCTTGGAGACTTAGGTCGTGGTACCCATTCAATGACAACCATCCTAATGTAATGGAGAAACAGTTCTTGACTGTTGTGATTAAGTCAAAGACCCTAATAATAATAATAATAATAATAATAATAATAATAATAATAATAATAATAATAATAATAATAATAATAATATTAATATTAATAATAATAATAATAATAATATATCTTTATTTTTACAAGTACATATATAAGGTATACAGACCATAGCCGACATCAGTGACATACTACTATATAGAAAGCCTCGGGCAAATTAGGTCAGAGTTCTGTCCCAGGATGCGACCCACACCAGTCAACAAATTCCCAGGTAACCATTTTACTGATGGCTGATCATAGACAACAGGTGTAAAGAAACACGCCCAATGTTTCTACCCTCTCTGAGAATCGAACCCAGACCCTCGCCGTGTGAAGCGAGAGCTTTAGCCACTAGGCCACGGAGTAATGGAAATAAGTCAGGAATCCCTGTGTAATTTACAATATCTATGATAATTGTACTTACGTGTACCTTCGATTAAAGAACCTTAATTACTGTCTTCTATGTATAGTTTTGCAAGGCTGAGGGAGTGATTACTTTATCTTATACTGCCTTAGTATGTATATTTATTTACAGTAACCCATTAGTACAATTATTATACATACTTTAAGTTAAACATGTAAATTACCCACGATAACCCTCAGAAAAGCCAGAGTGACATCAGGGTCGTTGCTTGCCATTGGTCATAACATGTCTGCATATATCTGAAGACGTTTCAGCAACCAGCGGCTTTTTCAATTTAATTTGGCCCGTGGTCTGGTAGGCAACGCTTTCCTTTCACACGCTGAGTGTCCGTGGTTTGATCCCCGGCAGAGCGGTAACATTTGGCGTGTTTCCTTACACCTATTCTCCCGTTCACCTAGCAAGTAAGTAGGTACCTGGGTGTTAGTGGACTGGTGTGGGTGGCATCCTGGGTAACAAGACTGAGGATCACAATGGAAAACACAGACAGCCCTCAATGACACACTGATTTTCTTGGGTTATCCTGGGTAGCTAACCTTCCGGGGTTAAAAAAATCCGAACAAAATGTTATCTTAACGCAGTCATGATATACGGTGACAGTAGAAGATGGGGTAATCAGTCCCTCAGACTTGTAGAGTTACACACAGAAGTTTACCAGATTGTTTCAGCTTTCTGTTAGTGCGGCTCTCAACTGACTCTAAAATAACATCAAGAATAATTCTTAAAACAATGATTAAAGTAATCTGTCAGTCTATACACTGATACATACATACCTCTCAGTATATATATATATGTATATACACAAGGATACACATCTCTCAGTACATGTGCACACACAAGGATACACATCTCTCAGTACATGTGCACACAAGGATACACATCTCTCAGTACATGTACACACGCAAGGATACACATCTCTCAGTACATGTACACACACAAGGATACACATCTCTCAGTACATGTGCACACACAAGGATACACATCTCTCAGTACATGTACACACACAAGGATACACATCTCTCAGTACATGTACACACACAAGGATACACATCTCTTAGTACATGTACACACACAAGGATACACATCTCTCAGCACATGTACACACACAAGGATACACATCTCTCAGTACATGTACACACACAAGGATACATATCTCTCAGTACATGTACACACACAAGGATACACATCTCTCAGTACATGTACACACACAAGGATACATATCTCTCAGTACATGTACACACACAAGGATACACATCTCTTAGTACATGTACACACACAAGGATACACATCTCTCAGTACATGTACACACACAAGGATACACATCTCTCAGTACATGTACACACACAAGGATACACATCTCTCAGTACATGTACACACACAAGGATACACATCTCTTAGTACATGTACACACACAAGGATACACATCTCTCAGCACATGTACACACACAAGGATACACATCTCTCAGTACATGTACACACACAAGGATACATATCTCTCAGTACATGTACACACACAGATACACATCTCTCAGTACATGTACACACACAAGGATAAATATCTCTCAGTACATGTACACACACAAGGATACACATCTCTTAGTACATGTACACACCAAGGATACACATCTCTCAGTACATGTACACACACAAGGATACACATCTCTCAGTAAAATGTACACACAAGGATACACATCTCTTAGTACATGTACACACACAAGGATACACATCTCTCAGTACATGTACACACAAGGATACTCATCTCTTAGTACATGTACACACACAAGGATACACATCTCTCAGTACATGTACACACACAAGGATACACATCTCTCAGTACATGTACACACACAAGGATACACATCTCTCAGTACATGTACACACACACAAGGATACACATCTCTCAGTACATGTACGCACACAAGGATACACATCTCTCAGTACATGTACACACACAATTCAATTCAATTCAATTCAATTCAAATTCAAAGTTTATTCTCTATAAAGATTACAATGTTGAATTTACAGAATTTGGTTGTTGTGTGGTTTACATGTAGTTAAATAATGATTACAGAGTGTACCACTAGAACACCTAGCATGGCTAGGCATTTCGGGCAGACTTAGTTTAATTCTTTGTTTTAAAATATTACAAATTATGAGGTAAGTTGGTATTATGGCTAAGTGACTAAATACTAGTTTGTGAGTTTAGCAATGTGAATGCTTTTGTTTTGGCACAGTACATAGTTTCAGTATTGGAGTATCATTGGATTCATTATTTTAAGATTGAGATTAATATTTCTGTTTATGTTCAAATGGGTGAGTGAGTGAAAAGTGTGAACCACCAGGGGGTATTCGTGTAGAAATTGACGGTGTATCAGGAAGATAAGATGTTTTTCTAATGGTAGTTTTGATGGTGTTTGAATGTGTCTGCAGTTCTAGAGTTCTCAGGTAGGGTGTTCCAGATTTTAGGCCTTTGACATACATTAAATTTTTGAAAAGGTTTAGTCGGACACGGGGAATGTCGTAGAGATGTTTGGGGTCTGGTGTTTGCCTGTGGGTTCTGTCACAACTATCAAGAAAACGTTTTTAGGTCAAGGTTGATATTGGAGTTTAAGGTCCTGTAGATGTAGATTGCACGTAGTATTAAGTGTGGATGTACTGAAAGGGAGTAGTTTAGATCTAGAAGAGTGGGGGGGGGTGTTGCCAGGGATGGGATTTAGTAATTATTCTTACTGCATTTTTTGTTGGGTTATTTTTGGGCTTTAGGTGTGTTGCTGCATTTGATCCCCAAGCACAAATAGCATGGTGAGGTGGGATAAATAAGAGAGTGGTATAGTGTGAGAAGGGCATTTTGCGGCACGTAGTATCGTATCTTGGAGAGGATCCCAACCGTTTTGGATACTTTTTTGGTTATGTGTTGGATATGGGTGCTGAAATTCAGGTTGTTGTCAAGGTATAGGCCTAGGAATTTGCCCTCATTATGTCTGGTAATTAGAGTGTTGTCGATCTTAATGTTAATTTGTGCATCTCCTGCTCTGCTACCAAACATAATACAGTAGGTTTTGTCAGTGTTAAGCGTAAGTTTATTGGCTGTCATCCAAGTCGATATTTTGATACACATCTCTCAGTACATGTACACACACAAGGATACACATTTCTCAGTACATGTATACACACACAAGGATACACATCTCTCAGTACATGTACACACACAAGGATACACATCTCTCAGTACATGTACACACACAAGGATACACATCTCTCAGTACATGTACACACACAAGGTGGACAAAGACAGGATGTTCCAGAGATTGGACACAGTAACAAGGGGACACAGTTGGAAGCTGAAGACACAGATGAATCACAGGGATGTTAGGAAGTATTTCTTCAGCCACAGAGTAGTCAGTAAGTGGAATAGTTTGGGAAGCGATGTAGTGGAGGCAGGATCCATACATAGCTTTAAGCAGAGGTATGATAAAGCTCACGGCTCAGGGAGAGTGACCTAGTAGCGATCAGTGAAGAGGCAGGGCCAGGAGCTCGGACTCGACCCCCGCAATCTCAACTAGGTGAGTACAACTAGGTGAGTACATCTCTCAGTGCATGTACACACACAAGTATACACATCTCTCAGTACATGTACACACACACAAGGATACACATCTCTCAGTACATGTACACACACAAGGATACACATCTCTCAGTACATGTACACACACAAGGATACACATCTCTCAGCACATGTACACACAAGGATACACATCTCTCAGTACATGTACACACACAAGGATACACATCTCTCAGTACATGTACATACACAAGGATACACATCTCTC